CGCCGCCCCGCTGCTGCTGCTGCTGCCGCTGCCCCTGCTGCTGCTGCTGCTGCTGCTGCTCCACAGTCGTTCTTATCTGGGCAGTTCTTTATCTTACAGGACTTCATGGCAGCCCTGGCAGCAGATTAATTTCCGAGGGGCTCAGTGAACAGAGCTGACGTTTGTTTAAACATGTTGTCTTTGATAACGCAGCAGAAAGTTGTTGGTTTTTTCTCTTTCTTCTCTGTCTGATCATTTGTCAAACCTTCTGTAAACATCTCCTCCCGCCCTTCCTCCTCCGCCGGTCTTTCTCCCTACCCTGTCCCCACTCCTGGTCTGCACCAGTCCTGTCGTCATGTGGTTCACTCCTGGGCCAATCAGAGCTTTGGAGCTCACCTACACAACATGACGCTGTCCAATGGGAAGCTGCGAGTGCCTCAAGATGGGCGGTACTACCTGTACTCACAGGTGATCACCATGACGTTACACTGGTCACATGACCTCCCTAGACCTGACTGGACCACACCTGCGGAGACTAACCAGACTAGTACAGACCAGAACAGAACAGACCAAACTGAACCAGACCAGTCCGGACTGAATCCCTGTCCCATCTGTTCTTCCAGGTGTATTTCCGTTATCCGTCTCCAGCAGCCAATGATGGAGACCAGCGCAGCGTCAGCCACCAGCTGGTCCAGTGTGTCTACAAGAAAACCTCCTACCCCAGTCCAATCCAGGTACCTGATCTTCTGTGTCCTTCTGACTTTCCTCTGGTCCAGTTCCAGTTCTCATTTCCATGTTCTGCTCTGTCTCCTGCAGCTCCTGAAGGGAGTCGGAACCAAGTGCTGGTCTCCAGACGCTGAGTACGCGCTCCACTCCATCTACCAGGGAGGACTGTTCGAGCTCCGAGCTGGAGACGAGCTTTTCGTCTCCGTCTCTTCTCCGACCATGGTCAACTCTGACGACTCCTCCAGCTACTTTGGTGCTTTTCGTCTGGACCTTTGAGGAAGAGAGACAGAACCTCGAACATCAGAATGGATCAAAAGAAGAACTTGGAGGCCTGGAGGAGGAGCCTGTGGAACGTCTGAGCGGCTGGACGAAGTTTGGGACATGGACCTGGATGGGCTTTTTTTTTTTCTGAAGGACCGAGGGATTAACGTGAGTTGCTCGTGTCAGAGCAACAAGAACTTCATCTGTCCTCCTCGGATCCACAGATCCAGGTCAGGATGAACAGAACAAGTGCAATGCTGGGAACGTTCCTGAGGATCAGGATTGGATTTGTATTTTTTTTTACAACCACTCGTGGACCAACCTATGGTTTCTTTGTGCTCGTGATGAGAAACAAACTCTAAACCAAATGATCTCGATGTTTCTCGCTTCTTACGTTTTTTGTTTTTTTTTGTTTGTTTGTTTTGCTTTTGGACCCTTGGATTTGAATCCTAGACAGAAGAATGTAAAGACGGATTTAAAAAGTGAATCCTCGGCATCAAAGATGCGAGGATCCTCAGACTGTGGGACGGAACCACAGCAAACGTGAACTGTTTTTACATTAGGACTAAAAACCACTGCAGACACACACTAGAACCGTTCCTGCACCAGAACAGTGCTGGAACCGATTCTGCACCTGAATATCACTCCGTCTCCTTGTCTGTGCTTGTTGTGTTCCTTCATGTCTTCTCTGCAGGAATGTCGTCCTGTCTATCCACTCTCTGTCTTCGTCTCTGGTTTTTCTGGTTCTACCTGTGAAACTTCATTCTAACTTAAACACGAACACGACCGCGGAGGAACCTGCTAACGCTAACACACACACTCAAAGTGCACGCTCACAGTCACACACTCAGGTGTTCAAATAGTTTTATTGCAGTCTGTGATCTGGATTTAATTTATACTACATCACGGCTACAGACACAGTTAGCTTGGCTTAGCTTAGCATGCTGTCCAGGAAATGAGTCTGTGAAGCAAAGAGTCAAAGATTTAGACTAAAGTTTTTTTGGCATCTATTTCTTATTTTGACGTTGCAATGCTAAGCTAAGTGATGCTAACTGTGGAGCACTCTTAAGACGATCTGAGGGCACGTGCTGTGAGCGTCGAACAAAAACACGAGAGACTTAGCCCAAAGATTTGGACAAATTTGTGTTTATCTGCAGACAGAAATCCTCAGCTAATGCAAACACAGAGGATGTATTCAACTGGTCCGTACACACACACACACACACACACACTCAGGTGTTAGCCCTGCAGACTCATCCATCAGCCACTGTCATGTCCTATATAAACACAATAATAAACCTGTGTCAGAGCTGTGTGTGTGTGTGTTCAAATACACACCTTTCCTGATAAGTCTCCGTTCACGTAACCACGGTAGGAAAACCAGGTCAAACGCAGACACACACTTTTCTGTTGTTCTCCCTGTGGTGCAGTGATTAAAGGGTTAATTGAAGTTTCTGTGATGAACTGAAACCTTAGCGACAAAACCAACAGTTGAATTCCAGCTGCGACCTGTTCCTGTGTTAATCTCACCGTTGGACTGAGGTGGGTCTGAGGTCACTGTTGATTTTCTATTAGCGCTTCATATAAAAAATTTTAAAAAAATCCTGGATTGACCCTTTAACCGCCTTTTTATAGTAACTGAGCCTTTTGTTCTTCACCGTTTTACTGCTTATTTGGAAACGTTGTTAAAACACTACGTTTGTTTTCATGGTCTCAGAGAAAATTGAAGGAGAATTTCATTTTTCACTTGTTTGCTGTTTTAGCTGCTTTAAACACACACACACGCACACATGCACACACACACACACACACACACACGTGACATTCCAGGCTCTGTGTGAACCTTCAGAGCAGAACTTCAGCTCAACCTGTGCAGATTTTCTTCATTTAACATCAGTCATTTGACACATTTTGTTGTTTGTTTTTTGCTCTGAAACCAAAGAAAACTGTTCTGTAGAAGCAGCCACACACACACACACACACACTCTCTCTCTCTTGTGGCTGTGAACATGCAGAGAAAATAAAGGTATCAAACGTTTCTGTTTGTTTGTAAGAACTGTGTTGATTCTGATCCAGTCGTGGAACTGAACGGCGACGAAAAAAGAAAATTGTGATTATGAATAAAAAATGAAAACCAAGGAATATAATAATAAATAATTTGATATTCAGTAAGTTTTAATGGAACAAAATAGTCTATAAAAGACATCCCAATTAACAGATACATTTACAGAAAATTAATTTGAGGAATAAAGAATAAAAAATGTTCATCGAACCGTCCTAAATTTTAATTTGTCATAAATTATATATTTTTCAAAAACTGCAGTAAGTCATAGAAATACATACTGTATATTAATGTATTAATATATAAAGAAAACGTTTGATTTACTTGATCATGTTGTTCTCTCTCTCTCTCTCACACACACACACACACTCACACACAAACAGCCTATATCCATCATCAGTCTGTCACACACTTCCTTACATTTACAACAGCGCTCCTGGATTATTACCCAGCATTCCCTGATTTCCTCAGAGCCGGTCAGGAAATGAGTTTTAGAAAACCTCACTGTGCACACACACACACACGTGCACACACACACACGTGCACACACACACACACGTGCACACCGTTACACAGGAAAAAAAGGCCAACACTTCCTGCAGAGACAGAGTGGGGCCACACACACACACACACACACACACACCTAGGTGTCTAAACAATGAGTTTCCAATTGAGTGTAGCTGGGAATGGGTTGAGTCCAGGGTGGGACAGGGCGTGGGTCCAGGGTCCAGGGTCCAGGGTCCAGGCTTACACTGAAACAATCATTAGATACAATCATCAGTTTTATAAGTTTAAAAACATTTTTTAAAGATGTTCCTGTTTCAACTTTCTCAACTGGAAAAAAAAAAGACTTCATTTGAGCCTTTGTGACATAGGTTCATTCCCCAGAAAAATAAACCCATTTGTTCGGTTCCCAGATAAAGTGAGTGACAACATTTCACTGGAACTTTCTGGAGTTTCAGCTTCAGTTTTACAGCAGTAGCAGAAACAGTTTGGATTAGAAAAACAAATAATCCTACAGTTTGTGTACGAAGAGGAAGTTGAAGAAAAACACCTCGCTACTGGATAACGTCCACCATTGTCCTCTGAAAGGTCAGAGTGAAGGTCAGACGAGAGGCGACGAAGGCCATAAAGAGGAGAGTGACATAAAGGTCAAAGAAAATGTATTTGGTCAAGTTCACAAAAAGACTGAGTAAAGCTGACCTTTAGAGGTCATTAAAGGTCAGCAGTCAGAGGTCAGCTCAGTGTAGCCAATAATACCAAAACGGAAGTATGAATAAAACATCTTTAAGAAGATTCAAACCTTCAACACCAAAATAATATCAACATTAAGATTTTTATATATAATGAATGTATATTTGAATGTGTATCTGGGTTTTAAATTAATTGGACTAATTAAATATAATTTTACATTCTAATTACATTTTTATTTGAATTAAATATGATTTTTGGACAACATTTTTATAAACTTTTTTTTACACTTTGTTGCTCCAGTGGCAGGACTCGCACCTGAAGGTTGTGGGTTTGATTTACAAACTAGTCCCCAAATCCCAGGGTGCAACAGGCCATGTGACCAATCACGATGTGGAGAACTACTGAGACCACCAATGATAGGGAGATCAATCAAATATGATTCTTCATTTTTATTCATTTAAAATCAAAGCTAAATAATTGTCCTCTGGATCTGACGGAATCGTCAACGTCCGATCGTTAACTTCCGATCTGTGTGAACAGACTGACGCGACGAGGCCTAGTTCAGATTGAACACACTCAGATTACAGACCGTTATTATAGGGAGTCTTTAACTCCCCCTTTTTTGACTGAAGACATCGCTGAGTTTGTCTGGTTGCCGTGGTGACAACAGTTCTGAGGTCACTGCTCCGAGGTCACTGACAGATTTTTTTTCACATGAGCAGAGAAACGAGGAGCAAAGCTGTGACTGTGGGAACCTTCACCTGAGGAGACGCCGAGGGGGCGGAGACTCTACACCGGCCAGAAGATTGAGTTTCTGCTGAAATTGCACACAAATACACACACGGACACACACAGGCTCACACTGAAATATTTGCCCCGAAGACAGTGGACGTGGACACGCATACACAGGCACACACACACTGAGTGAGCAGGATGTCAGAGCAGGTGTAGGATGACTCCTTCAATGGCTTCATTACCACATGGAAATGTTTTGGCTGCTGTGTAATGGGCTGCAGGACAAGAGGAGCTCTGGGAACAGGAGGAGACGGAGACAGAGGAGCAGAGAAGATCAGAGGGTCAGGTGTCCAAGACGGAGGTGGAAAAGGAGGACAAGAAGGTGTGGGAGGAGGTGAAGAAAACTCTCTGACAGACCAAAGTCAATGGAGAAAATCAGAGATTTTAGCTCACAGACCAAAGTCCATGGAGAAAATCAGTGATTTTAGCTCACAGACCAAAGTCCATGGAGAAAATCAGTGATTTTAGCTCACAGACCAAAGTCCACAGAGAAAATCAGTGATTTTAGCTCACAGACCAAAGTCCATAGAGAAAATCAGTGATTTTAGCTCACAGACCAAAGTCCATAGAGAAAATCAGTGATTTTAGCTCACAGACCAAAGTCCATAGAGAAAATCAGTGATTTTAGCTCACAGACCAAAGTCCATAGAGAAAATCAGTGATTTTAGCTCACAGACCAAAGTCCATAGAGAAAATCAGTGATTTTAGCTCACAGACCAAAGTCCATAGAGAAAATCAGTGATTTTAGCTCACAGACCAAAGTCCATAGAGAAAATCAGTGATTTTAGCTCACAGACCAAAGTCCATAGAGAAAATCAGTGATTTTAGCTCACAGACCAAAGTCCATAGAGAAAATCAGTGATTTTAGCTCACAGACCAAAGTCCATAGAGAAAATCAGTGATTTTAGCTCACAGACCAAAGTCCATAGAGAAAATCAGTGATTTTAGCTCACAGACCAAAGTCCATAGAGAAAATCAGTGATTTTAGCTCACAGACCAAAGTCCATAGAGAAAATCAGTGATTTTAGCTCACAGACCAAAGTCCATAGAGAAAATCAGTGATTTTAGCTCACAGACCAAAGTCCATAGAGAAAATCAGTGATTTTAGCTCACAGACCAAAGTCCATAGAGAAAATCAGTGATTTTAGCTCACAGACCAAAGTCCATAGAGAAAATCAGTGATTTTAGCTCACAGACCAAAGTCCATAGAGAAAATCAGTGATTTTAGCTCACAGACCAAAGTCCATAGAGAAAATCAGTGATTTTAGCTCACAGACCAAAGTCCATAGAGAAAATCAGTGATTTTAGCTCACAGACCAAAGTCCATAGAGAAAATCAGTGATTTTAGCTCACAGACCAAAGTCCATAGAGAAAATCAGTGATTTTAGCTCACAGACCAAAGTCCATAGAGAAAATCAGTGATTTTAGTTCAGACCAAAGTCCACAGAGAAAATCAGTGATTTTAGCTCACAGACCAAAGTCCATGGAGAAAATCAGTGATTTTAGCTCACAGACCAAAGTCCATGGAGAAAATCAGTGATTTTAGCTCACAGACCAAAGTCCATGGAGAAAATCAGTGATTTTAGCTCACAGACCAAAGTCCATGGAGAAAATCAGTGATTTTAGCTCACAGACCAAAATCAGTGATTTTAGCTCACAGACCAAAATCAGTGATTTTAGCTCACAGACCAAAATCAGTGATTTTAGCTCACAGACCAAAGTCAGTGATTTTAGCTCACAGGCCGAAGTCCACGGAGAAAATCAGTCAGATGACAAACACATTCTAATATCGCAGGTTTAATAAGGTGTCTTTAGTTACATTAAGTGTGAGAAGAAAACCTGACATGTATGTGTGTGTGTGTGTGTGTGTGTGAGGCTTGAGGCATGTCTGTAACTGGAGCTTCATGTGAAGTTTCAGCTACAGGAACTGAGCTCAGGAATAAACACTGAGTCATTACTGAAGAGTTACAATGCACTCAAATTCCCCCAACACACACACACACACAAACACACACACATAGATCACGTGATCTTGTGACTGTGACATATGTGAACATGTGAACATCCTCCAGAATGTGCAGGTACTGTCACTCAACATCATGTGCACATCAGAGCTGCCGATAAAAAAAAGAACTGTTTTACCAGGACCACATCTGTAAGGAGAGGGCGGGGCGGGTGAAGCTGGAACCTCTCTGCTCTGATGACGTCACACTGAACCACAGATGTGGGACCACTGTCAGAAGTGATGATGGTTCTGATAAATGAGGAAAGAATGGAGGGTAACATTGTTGGTGTTGAAAAAGGGTCAAAGTTCAGAGGTCATTCAAAGTCATCACAAAGGTAGCTTCAGGGTCAACTCTACTCTATGTTCACGTCCTGCAGTTTTATACGTGTTTAAACGTGTTCTATTTTTGTCTTCTTCCACAGGATGATTTTACGTTTGGAGGATAAATGTTAGAAAGTAGAAAGTTTTCATTTTCTGAAAAGAGCAAAGTGACGATGGAGAGGCTGAAGAAAAAGAGACAGACTCTGAGTTCAAAGTTTACATAATTTAGTGAAAAAGACAAACAAACATTATTATTATTATTATTTTTACATTTTCATATAAATTATTTTCAGCTGTGATGATTTTAACCTTTTGACAAACAAACAAAGAGAAGCACAGATTCCAGGACGGAAGATCCTCGGGCTCAGAGGGTCACACGGTGGAGTGTTTGAACATGTGTGTGTGTGTGTGTGTGTGTGTGTGAGATGAAGATCCATCTTCTCACACTGCTCTTCTCTTCAGCCTGGGGCTGAGAGGAGGAAGAAGAGTAGCAGTAGTAGTAGGCGGAGGAGGAGGAGGAGGAGCAGGAGCATCATCATCCATCAGCTCATGCTTCTGTGTCTGGACTCGCTGAGATGCTGCAGGGCAGACACTGACGTTCTCCAAAAGTTTTCCTAATCTCCTTTTGTGTGAAAGCAGGATTATCTTCAGCTCTTCCTCCTCCGGTACCTCCTGTGAGGAGAGGATTCTCAGGGAGTGTTCATGCAGAAGATGAGGACAATCCGTATTCCACAGACGTTCCTCCTGAAGAAACCTTCTCCATCAGAAGGTCTCAGTTTTTTTCACATTTTGTTGAACAAATAAAGAAAAAAAAAAAAAACTTCATTTCTGTTTGTGCAAAAAGCTGCTGATTTCATTTGGCTTCTTTCTCTGTCGGTTTGACATGAGGAGATGAAGGTGTGTTTGGTCACAGGTGGGTTCTCATCCTTTGCTCCACAGGAGCAGACGAACAGGACCAAGGGCCAGCAGGAGGTTCTCCCAGGTTCTCCAGGAACCCAGGTCTCTATGGGGGGAACTGTGGGGAGGGTCCCAACAGGAAGGGGCAGAAGATGAGAAGTAGCGATAGACCAGGAGGTTCCTGGAGAGTTTTCTTTCTTGAATCAGATCAGGTCCAGACCTGAACACGATCAGGAACAGATCTGACCCAACAAAGACCTGATCTCCAAAGGAGGCGCTATGGAGGAGCTACATTAGAAGAAGGAGAAAAGATCGAGCTGATGAAGATCAGTTGAAGAGGATGGAGTCTGGGTCTCTGTTGGAGATCTGGGCCATGTGTTTGAGAATGTCCTTCTTGGTGATGATGCCTAGAAGCCTCCTTCATAACACAAAACAGAAAAGCAAAAAAAGAGGAGATGATGTCATCACTCACAGAACGACCCAGAGCTCAGTTCAACTGGTTCCAACACAGGCCACAGTTCACTTCTTCATCACTTCATCACTTTTTTATTATTCCAAAAACTAAAGTCTGTTTGTGTGAAGATGAAATGAGAAGAAACAAATGTGAACCTTGTGATGGACCTGCCAAAACTTCACTACATTCCTCCTCCTGCTCCTCTTTTCCATCTCCACTTTCTGATTTTCTTCAATGACTAAAAACCTTCAAAGTTTAACAGGGAGAAGATGAAGCTGTGACTCCCATATCTGGTCTTCTAAACAGTAACCCTCCTTCTCTACTCCTCCTCACGTCATCCCTCACTTCACCCTTCCTCATCCTCTCCACCAGAGTAAAAACCTGAGCATCCTCCTTCTCCACCTTCACACTGACACCTGCAGCTCTCTCCTTCACCTCCATTATCTGGATCTCCTACATCATCTCCACCTCTTTGATTAGTTTTATTTTCCAACAGATTCACGTGTTTATAGGTGTTTTTTTTTTATTTAAGTCATGTTTAGTTTGTGTCTCAGTCTGTGTGTGTGTGTGTGTGTGTGTTCTGACACGTTGTGTGTGACCAGACACTGTCTCAGTCCCAGTTTCCTGAAGATGTCCACAGTGATGTCCATAGCTGTGTGGTCAGTGACAGTGAAGGGACTCAGGTCCACGATTCCTCTCAGACGCAGAGGGGGCGGGGCTTCAGGAGGGAGGGGTGGAGTGTGTTCAGTAAAGACCACCTGAGATGCACTGACCACGCCCTCTTGACGCTTTCGAGCATTGTCTGAAAAATGATGGATACAAATTTTTTTTTAAACTTGCAGCATTGAAGGAGGAAAATGTGAGTGTGTTTTTGGATCAAGACTTGTCCTGACCAATGGAGATGAGCAGGTCTCTTCTGAGGACAAACCCTACAAGTCTCTGAGACTCCTGAGAGACCACCACTGGAAAACCACTGTAGTGAGTGCTCTCCACCAACGCCTGAGACACACACAAAAACACATTCACAATTTTAATATTCCATGTTTTCCAAAAGCGTGTCTTTGGAGGTTCAACATCTGCAGAACTTTGAATCATTTGAAGGAATGTACACGTTCGTGGCAGTAATCAGGTCAGATTCTACATGGGAGAACCTGATAAATAAGTCAGTGGGAAAACATTGTTACCAAAGGTTTAATTAATAAAGCTACATCTTCACAGTCTACTGGTGTGTATGTGGATTAGTGATTTCTTCATCGTTTCCTCACAGCTCTGTGTTCTGGTCGTATTTTCCTTCATACTTCAACCACTTCCTGCAGCATCCCTGCCGTTCCCTCCACCAGACTCTCTGACCACCAGGCTGATCAGCAGGATCCCAGCGTCTTCCTTTTCCTCATCATTTCTACAGTAGACTTTGTTTTTGTAGTATGTTAAACCTGCAGTCCTCCTGCTGTTCCCTCCTCTCTCCTACAGTCAGTGCGTCCTGTGGGTGCAGCTTCCTCCTCTTCCTCATCTCTGCCACGTTACTGTGGCCTGTTTTTACAGTGTGTTTGATCTACTTCCTGCTGTTACATCCTCTTCTCTGACCACTGTGAAAAGGAGACACTTCTTCGTCTCCACTATCATCTGACTGTGCCACTGCGCTACTCTACCTCTTTACAGTATTTACTGCTACTGAGTCTATGTCACGTTCCCTGTCCTTACCTCCACCTCTCCCACGTTCATACCGTCCTGAGTGAGCGTGGCCAAAGCTGGGTCAGCCCTCCTGGGCCTCATCACGTCCACAGCCAGGCTGCTTTGTTCAAACTCTTCCTTTGGCTCCAGGAACGGGTAACCATTCAGACGAATGTGAGCCTGCGGTGGAGAGTGGAGAGAGCATTGACACATGCACGTATACATGTATGTGTGTGTGTGTGTATATGTATGTTTGTGTATAAGTGTGTGCGTGTAAGTGTGTGAAAGTGAATGTGTATGTGTGGATATGGGTACATCATACACATGTGTTTGTGTATGTGTGCGTGTGTGTGTGTGTGTGCACAGACTGATGTTTGCAGCTGGACAGCAGCCAGTGGCCTGGAATTCTATGAATGCTTTTAGTGGCTGAGAGCCAGACACACATCAGTGCAGAGAGCAACAATGTCAGAGAGGAAGAGGAAGAAGAAGAATCTCTTCATCTTCACCATCCTCGTCATTATCATCCTCATTAGACCATCCTCATCCTCATCATCATCAGCTCCCCCCACCTCTCCACCTTTTTCCTCACCTCATAGATTCCTTCTCTTCCAAAAGCGTCAGCCACCCACTTGCTGGTCATGGTAGCAGCCATGAGAGGAACGATGTACTCCAGACCTCCAGTCAGTTCAAACATGATGACCACCAGAGACACAGTCATACGAGTCACACCCCCTGAGAGCAGCACAGGGACAAAATAAACTGGTGAAGTCAAACTGATCACACAGAGATTCAAGGACAACACTTTTAGTCAGACTTCAAGTTAAAAGGACAGAAAATATTCGACTGGAGTGTGTGAAGACAGACAAACACAGGCAGTCGTACAGACAGTCGAACAGGACAGACAGGACAGATTACTAAATTGAACTCATGATCTCCTCTCAGTTCATCAGGTTTATGTGGGATTAAAAGTCAGGATTTCATCTCAAACATTAAGAGGAAACAAACACACATGGTTCCCTCACCTAGACAGGCTGCGGCTCCAACCATGGCATAAAGTCCTGGGGTGATGCAGTCGGCTCCTTGAGAACACCAGCCTTTGAAGATCAGCGAATCATGGTTGTAGTAGGCCAGCTGCTCCATGGCCACGCCCAGCAGTCGCCCAGCGATGGCTCCGATCGCCATGCTGGGGATGAAGAGTCCAGACGGGACCTGAGGAAGAGCAGAGGAACCAAACACACTGGTCACTCTGATCAGACACAACAACAGTGTGTGTGTGTGTGTGTGTGTGTGTGTGTGTGAAGCTAAGCGAACCTTCATGCCAAAGGTGATGACGGTGATCATCATCTTGAAGAGCAGAGCCAGAGCTAACTGCCACAGGGCAGTGTACAGAGCTTCACCTGCTGGACGGTCTCCCAGAGTGTTTCCTACACCAGTGTCTGAGATGTTGGGGAGCTGCAAGTCACACAGAGAGACAGAGTCAGAGACAGAGACAGAGACAGAGACAGCGACAGAGACAGAGTCAGAGACAGAGACAGAGGCAGAGACAGAGTCAGAGACAGAGACAGAGACAGCGACAGAGACAGAGTCAGAGACAGAGTCCGAGACAGAGTCAGAGTCAGAGACAGAGTCAGAGTCAGAGTCAGAGTCAGAGTCAGAGACAGAGTCAGAGACAGAGAGAGTGTGGACAGAGCAGCCAGGAAGAAAACAGTGTCTAAATCGAAAGTTAGACAAGAACACAGACTTGCCAAGTTAAAAGTTAACCATAAACAGCCCTAAGAATGCTAACAGTGTTGTTGTTATGGCATCAGCTAAAATGAGCGCAAGCTAATTCTGAAGTTCTAAAATCGTTTGCAGCAATTTGCCTTTGTATTTTTCTAAACTCTGGCTGCACCTCAAAGATATTTACTTAGTTTCTACAGCTGCTAATGTTTGACTCAAGTGTTTAAAAAAAGCTTTACTCTGAGCACTGGAATAATAAGATAAGGTGTGTGTGTGTGTGTGGATAAGAGGGCAGAGTGTAAAACACTGGGTCCATTCATGAACCCTCAGCACCTTCAGACCCACTGACACAGCCCATAAACACTAAATATCTAATCTCTGTAACAGGATTAGCGGTGACACGGTGGAGCAGCGTACCTGTTTGTAGCCACACAGTTGAGAAGAGTCCAAAAGTGTGCAGTCGTTGAAGAGCTCAGAGATGAGCTCAGATCCACTCATCCTGGTGTAACTGTTGGGGAAGGCCAACAGGGCGGTGAGCCCCGTCACCAACACCACCTCCACCACGGAGTAATGACCTAGACGGGTTGTTTTACCTGCAGCACACACAGCCAGGGTCAGACGCCTCAGGCCAGAGACCAGAGGGTCAGAGAGAAGAACAAATAACAATAAAAACTCACGTATCCTGCACCAGGCGATGTTAGCCCTAATGAACAGCGCCCCCCACAGGCCTCCGAAGATCCCCAACAGAATAAAGGGGGCCAGTTCCACCAGGTGCCATGGAGCATGGAACTCGACGTAGAAGAGTACCAGGCGACTGTTCCCAAAGGGGTTGATGGAGCGAAGAGTGAAGGCAGCGACCAGGGCAGCAAAGAAGGAACGCCATAACGTCTTTAAAGGGAAATAGTAGCTGACCTTAGAGCAGAAGAAGGGTGGAAAAAGAGAGGGGGGCAATAGAAGAGAGAAGAAAAGAGGAGAGAAGAACACAAGAAAAAAAGATGACAAAGACCAGAGGAACACAAATCAAATTAAAATCAGTTGTTCTTCTGCTGCTGCAGCTGACGATGATGATGATGATGATGGTGTCCTCTGACCCTGGTCTGAGGTCTGAGTAAACTCACCTCCTCCAGACTGAAGAGAACTCCTCCTATAGGTGCACCAAAAGCCACAGACACTCCAACAGCTGCTGCTGCTGACAACACCTACACCACAACCACAACCACAACCACAACAACAACGTTTTCATTATCACAGCCATCTCCATCACCAGACCATCATCAGAAGACACTAATCCACCTCTCGTCTCTTGGCCTCATTCTTTCTGTACTTGGTGAAGAGGTGACACAGGATGTTGGCGCAGCAGCAGGCGACGTGCACTAGAGGGCCCTCTTTCCCCAGGCTGAGGCCCGAGGACACGGCCAAGACCAGGGTGATGGTCTTGGTGATGAGGGTCCACTTCCCCAGGTAGCCTCTGATGATAAAGCCACTCAGGATGGTTTTGATCTGAATCAGACAAAGTCAGAGAGGATGTGATCAGGACCAGGACCAGTGTAAACACTGAGGGGTTCATCTGAGAGCAGTCTCTGTGGTCTGTAGTGTTCTGTTCCATAAGCTGGTCACCTACATTTTCATTTGTTTAAGGTTCAACATGTCCTCAAGCTGCTGTTTGACTCACACTGAGGTTTTTACCTGCTCCGTGCCTTAAAGTTCAACTAAAACCAGCCCAGGGATAAACTGTAGCAGTTGTGAAGTGTGCGGTGGCTGTGGGCGGAGTCTGACCTCAGGTATTCCTGAGCCACATGCGTATGGAGCAAAGGCTCGGACCAGAGTCACAGCCAGGAAGGAGAAGAGCAGAGCCCACAGGATGTACATCAGGTAGTTCAAGCTGTAGGCTAACGCCCCCTGCAGGACACACACAGAATTAAGTTAGTGACACACAAACCTTAACAAAGTCATATATAAAGATATAGATGTAGTTAGAATAAGACAAAGAAAAAGAAAGATATTACCAACAATAAATGAAATATAAATAAATGAATCATTAAATTATTAAGTGTCATTATTTATAAATGTGTTATTCATTAATTAAAATACTGATTTTACATTTCATGGTTGGCTGTGTTGCAGTGCCAACTCCCCCATCAAAGTCTGTAAGGGGGGCAAATGCCAATCTAGTCCAATCCATTGGTCAGATGTAGCCTATAGAGAGACGATAGAGGAAGAGAGTGGGAGAATGTTTGGAGTGTCAGAGAGGACCATTAGGACCCCATCAACACTCTCTCTCTCCCCCTTTCTCTCTCTTTCTAACAAACGTAAACAAAGTCTCCAGACAGTGAAATGAGGATATGTGTTCTCTGTTCTAGAGGCAGTGGTGGCTTAGTGGTTCAGGAAGTGGTCCTGGTTCTAGTCCACCAGCTGCCCAGTTCCCACTGAGGTGCTCTGTCATGGCTCCGTCTCCACTCACTGCTCCCTGGTTCTTAAAGCTGCCAGTGTTCACTTTGGTGATGGGTTAAAAACAGAGGTCACATTTGGTTGTGTGCAGTGGTGAGCTGTGTCACAGTGACAAGGAGTTCACTTCCATTCACTTTCACCTCTAATTTAAACCTCTAAGTAAAATTTCAAGTTTGAGTTTCCGTCACCGTTGATGTTCCAGAGAAGAGCTCGGCCCAGCTCTGCCACTGAGGACAGCGGTCTCTCTCCTGGAAGGTGGGCTCGCTGGATGTCCAGCAGCAGTGTTCGTGGTTGAACCAGAAGCCGTTCAGACACACACCCTCCTTCATGTCCGTCAGCCAGTGGGCAGCGATGTCAATGCCTCCGGCCAGAGCACCTGGATGTTTATAACTAATTTAGTTTTTAGAGACTACAACTGCCTTCATTACCTTATTATTATAATGTTATTGTAATGAACAGTGTGGAGTTTACCTGCCATCAGTCCCACCAGCAGCATCAGTAACCATCCAGAAAAGGCATCACTGATTCTGAGCAGCAGAGCCACCGTCGACTCTCGACTCTTATGAGTGATCTGTAACAGGAATCACCAACGACCAATAATCATTACGCAGCAGAATCAGCAGGAGTAGAAGCTGTGACAAGAGGAACAACAGCTCCACACACACACATACACACACATACCTCTCTGTGTCTGTCCCGGTCTTTGCTCTTCTCTCTGACCCAGTCGATGGTGTTAAAGTCCTCGTAGGTTCCGACCCCAGGCAGTGGGTCGTCCAGTGGATCCACCATTTGACTGGGTCCATGACCGTTCATACTCACTCTTCTGCTGCTGAATTCATCAAAGTCACCTGACAACAAGAGACAAAATAAGTGAAAAAAGGCTCAACACTGATCAGTGAAGAAGGTCATACTACGGTTAGTGCTCTGGTCCTACAGTAAGGAAGTCACTGGTTTGAGCCCCTACTCTAATTGCTGGTCTAGTCTCCTCCCAAATATTGGTGATTATGGTAAATTGTTCACCTCCTCCCTCCCTTCTTAGTGATCAGTGACCTGACCAGACAAACTGGTTCATACATGTTATGACTGAAGATCATCTCTGTAGTTAAAGTCACAGTTTAGGTAAACTCTAATGTCTTTTTCAAAATGATATCAATTAAGGTCTATAGTACCAGCAGCAGAAACAAAATATTAAAATAAATCAACAGGATGAGGTGAAACAGTCTGTGAAAGTCACTTCTGATGTTATAACGATTTCCAACAGTTTTCATGACTGTAGTGCTTACAGTAAATAAATACATGTATTTATTTACTGTAAGCACTGCAGACATGGGCACACACACAAGTGTGTGTTTGCCATTAGTTTGACTTTGATCACACAAAATCACATGACTCTTTACTGGACGGACGGTAAAAGGTATTCAATGATTAGACAACACCACAAGGCATCAGCAGAAACTCTCTCTCTCTCTCTCTCACACACACACACACACACACACACACACAGAGCGTAAAAACACAACCATAACCAACAGCTTGTCTCCTCACCACCCTCCACCAGTTCTTCCTCGTCCAGCTCACGACTCCAACATTCCCACATCATCCTCCTAACATTCTCAAACATAAACTGGGAATCTCTTCCCTCCTCTTATCTGCTTCAGGAAACACATTCAACTGACTCCGCCCACTCTATCATCGATCAGATGAGCTGCACTTCGATTGGCTGAGATGCTAGTAAACTGAGCTGATTCACTTGATGTCAGAATGAAGTCACAGGCCTAAAGGTGAGTGACCTTTGGCCAGAGCCAGACTGAGATTGAACAGAAGTTTCTCTTTAAGTTCATTGAATAACAAAAATTAATTCTTTATTTTTCTTTCAGTTAAAATACATTTTAAGATAACTCTTCATTTGAGCCTTGGTTAAACAACACAGTTTTTGCATCATGTGACTTCACCTATACAGCACAAGGTATTCTGAAAAACTTGTTATTGTTGTTTGAAATATTCCTCAGCCCAGACTTATTTCCAAAAAGAAAACAGTCTGACACATCCATCCAAGATAAATCAAGCGCAACTGGACTGGTTTAGTTTTCTAGAAGATGATTCACCTCTCATCCAAGAGGCTTCCTCATTTCTGAAACTTCCTAACTCCAACTGCTGTTGTCACCGTTGTGTCTTTTTATTTCTCTCCATGTTTGATTTTTCTAAAAACATCAGCGTAGACATCAGACATCAACTGAAGAAAACAGCTGCCATGTATTCACATTCTGCTGTTTTGATATGGACATGAGTGATGACATCACCAAAAACAGAGAGGTCACAGGTCACAGGGGCGGTGACGTCACGCAACCAAACCACTGCACAAACAGTTGATACTGCAGCTGACTTTTAAACACAACTTTAAACTTTTGTACAGGCGTGATGTCACAAGAGAAAATGTGAAATTCCAGTCTAAGCAGATTTAAAGTCTGACACAGAGGAGAGACTCATTAAATGTACCATGTTAGCTCAATAGAGCATGGGACCATGTGACAGTAACACAGTATGAACAGCTACACGTTGTCCAATACCTAATACCTAGTCCTCCATTCATTCATTCTCTGATCAACCACAGAGACCTGTGTGTGTTTGTCATACCGCATGACTGCAGCCAATGACAAAAGATGTAGAAACCACAATGACTGTGTTCTTTCAGAAGTGAAACTCAGAGGTTTCAACACTCACTGAGGCTGTTTCTTCATCAGGTCATTACATAATGAATACATAACAGGGACACTTCCTCTATGCCAACTCTTAACTAGTAATGTTAACAACATTAATCTAAGACAATCTGGTGTTGGCCACTACTCTGTCAATCACTCATCAGCACACAGTGACCTGAGGTCAGTGGTTGTTGGATACAAAACCACATACCTGAGCAGAGAGGAGGAACATCATCAGAGGAGGAGAAGTCCAGCGTGGCCCCCGCAATGTCAACCATCTCATCATCATCTTCATCATTTGAATGAAGGCCGTCAAAGCTGTTGCTGAGGTATCCTGAGGTTTCCATGTCCTCAGGTGATTAAAACTGGTTGATCTGCTGTTTGATCTGTAAAGATGACAAATGTTTTTTTAAAGTTCCACACCATCATAAAACATGCTCAGATATCACCATGTGATTTTTTTTTTGTTTGGGGGGGGGGGGGGTGTCAACATCTCTGTAGAACACATACACACTTCTGATGTGGTCTGAGGAAACCACATCTCCATCTTCAGTCTGTGTCCTCTCAGACCTAAGTCTGGTTTGGGAGAAGTCTCTGGAGCAGACATGGACTTTAGCTTAATCTGAACATCAGTCTGAGAACTCTGGTCTTTGTTCATACCACAGGTGCAGACTGGACCAGGTTCTTCCCTGGTGTCTCTGCAAGTTTCTCAGACTCTTCAGACTTATGCATGTCCATGTGGACTGAACTAATAAACTTCTTTCTGCACATCTCAAAAACTGTTTTCATTCATCAAATATTATTTTTGATTATACAATACAATTAAGCTTGAGTTTAAATTTCGGTCTCTGCTGTTGTCGTGAAGCTACTATGTATTTTGTTTATATTTTCCATACAGTAAAGTTTAAGTCATCTGCTGTCATTAATCTGCAGCTAACAGGCTAACGCCAGGTAGTTGCTGAGCACTAAGGAGTGAGAAAACTTTATCTTTAACTAATCTCTGGCTTTCACGTGAACATGCGGAGTAGTTTTTAATGTTGACTCGTATAAAATAACATTAAACATACAATGCATTTACCAGTGAAGCAGTTAAACGACGATCATCAGCAGCGTCAGAGTCTTGTGACCGGATTATCGTCTTCAATAAACACTATCCGTAAACAGCACGGAGCAGGAAACACGGAAAAACTGCTGCGTCATAATATGAAGACCCATTAAAGGCCGCGTTATGTGTCAAGGACTTAAAAAGACGAGTCTAAAGTATCACGTGACGGAAGAAAAACTTCTTAAATGAGTGTAGGTGGACTCTGGACTATTGGTGCTTTGTCACGTCGCCTGTAAGCGTCATGCTAACGCCAAGTAGCCGGGCTGACTACTTCCGGTAAAGCAACGTAAAGAATATTCACCGCAAAACTTTTAGTCAACGTATTTACACAAAATACAACATTTTTAAAACAATAATTTTAATTAAATGTGTTCAAAGGAAAGTTTTATTTTGAACAGAGAATTAAATTCAACTTCCTGTTTAAGATCCCAGCGCTTTTCGATTTGTTAAGTAAATTTATATCAGTCAGTATATGTAAACTGTATCTTAAACTTTTTTTATTGTTTAATGTAAATTGTAAAAATAAAAATATCAAACCTTATATTATCTAAATAATAATCGCCAGAGCTTTGGTGACAAAGGACGCCCTCTTGTGTTGTACTTTGCGAATGACCAGAGGAAATTATGACGAATTTGACTTACTTATCTCCTCTTCCTTTGTCCCTTTCTCCCCATTTCTCTCCTTTTGTTCCCTTTACCCTGTATTTGTCTTCTCACCTTTAAAGGTTAAAGCAGGAGGATAGTAAAGTGAATTGTTTATTTAATTTACAAAAAAGAAAAAAAATTCTGTCAATGCTTTAAAAACTTAGGTGTTGTCCATAATAAACTGAAGTAACCAATGTCTTCAGAACTTCAAAAAGCCTCCTTGTTCATATGTCAGTTTAATATCTTAAATCACAACAGTAGATAAATTAATATCTTCAGCCTCAGTAAAATGTCAGTTTCAGGTGTAGGGCTTTAATCTCAGGAGATTTTAGCAGCAGTATCGCAAACATCAGAAGAAACACAATCAGCAGAAGAGGGGAAAAAATTACTGCTTCAGTTTCTTCTTCTTCTCTGATTCCAGTGATAACAGCTTTGGGAGATAATGTTTCTCTTTCTTGAGCTTCTGTAGTATTGAAGCAGAAAAAAACAAAGGTTTGAGTGTACAGTGTTTTGCTGATCCACAGTTTGAGTCTCTTGATGAAAACATGTTCATTTTCATGGTCAGAAATTGGTATTTCCCAAAATTTCAAAAGAAACAAGGACATTTTTAAGCATTTAAAGATTACGGCTTTTCACCAATGAAATAAAAATGCTGGATCATTTGAGACACAAAAATGAAGAAACATTTCTCAAGGATTTTTCTTCTTCTCCTTAAGTAAATAAACAGTAAAGACTTTATTTTTTTTTTACTTTTTCAAACAAAGTCATTCATAAAAATAAAGATAGGAAAATAGGAGCAGTTTTGTACAGAGAGTATAAACAGTATAAACAGACACAGCTGAAGTCTCAAACTCCACCTGGTGAAAGACGTTTGGACAGATCTCTCGCTCTCACACACTCTCAAACACTCACACACACAAACACACAAATAAAACTTCAAATGTAAAATGTCATCTTCATCCTTACAGGGAAAAAAAGCACCAAGCATATTCAGTCAGGTTCTCTTCAGACAGTGAATAAAAACAGTCGTGGTCAAGTCATCGATTCAGAGTCAAAAACTTCTTTGGCACAAACTCTCTTTTACTTTTGGAGAGTACATTTTTTACAGTACAATTGTGAAAACAAAGACAGTTAACTTCACATGTTTTCCTTCAGTCTAATTTTACTTGGAATAAAAAACTCATCAGTTCCACTGATGGGTCACATGAGTTCCCTCTTTCGGCCAAAATACAGCAATGAATTATGGGTCTTTAGTGATCCACAGGTGGTGGAGTCTCAGTCCTGGTTCCTGTCCTGATCCTAGTCCGAAGTCCTGATTCCAGTTTTTATCATTGTTCAGGTCCTGATCCCAGGTACAAACTACCACTCTTGGGGTCAGGGATGGTAGAGTCTCATTGGTTCTCATTCTTTGTGTTTGCTAAAGTATAGAGTGTTTTTTTTAGAAAATCTTCAGTACTGACCATACACCAGTGACATCCCCAGTCCTGACCCCAGTCCTAGTCCCAGACTCTCTCTCAGGGCCCTCAGTTGCTCCTCTCCCAGTCGGATCTTGTCGTCCAGCTGTCGTTGCTCCACCAGCAGAGCAGCCTTCATCTTTACAAAGTGGCTGCAAAACACAGATTATTTGGGATTCAGTTGAATTGTTATTCTGTTAAACAGAAGTAATAATCTGAGATTAGAGGAGAGACATACATATAATCCCGGTGCTGCTCTGGACTGAGACTCTGGGCCAGGACTCTGCTGACGGCCTGTTCTCTGCTGTCCACATGATCCTTCAGCTCCTGAGCCTCAGACAGTTGATGCATGAGCTGACGCTTCTTCTCCAGCAGGGAGAGCTGCCACACACACACACACACACACACACAGGAATTAACATTGCAATTTCGACTCAGGACATTTTCTCTCCGCCTTCCCCATGTCCTCACCCTGTGGTGCTCCTGCTCCTCCTGCTCCAAGCTCTCAAGGGCGGTGTCCACTCTCAGCAGTCGTCCAGATAGAGACAGCAGCAGACTCACCACTTTGTCCAGGTCTCCCATGAACATTCGGAACTTGTCCACCTCCTGAGGTCTGCACACAGACACCACCATTTGCTCCACCTGAGGAAATGAACACACAGAGATGGAAACAGAGACACACGGAGGTGGAGACAGACAGACATCAGATCTGATCTCAGTGATAACCCAGCATGAAGAAAGTTCTCCTGTGGGTCTAGATCCTGGTCCAGCAGCTGACCTGGTCTCCCAGCAGAGCGTTGGCTCTGATGTCCTCCTGAAGACCTCTCTGAGCTTCTCTCAGGACACCCAGCTTCTTCCTCAGACTCTCCATCAGCTGCTTCTGCACCACAGACACAGGGACAAGCATGTAGACCATGTGTCCAAAAGCATCCCTCAACATCTTCAGCCCTTATTTTTTTCTTCTTCTTTTACCTTGTAGTTCAGCTCATCATCGTTGTCCTCATTTTCTTGCCGGACTTCGTTCCTCTCCCTGTCCTCAGCGTAGTCCTTCAGCTGACTCAGCAGCTGGGCTTTAGCTGCTGACGTACTGTAGTAGGAGGAGCAGCTGGAACTCGCTCTGGACCGACTGAGGAGGACAAGGAGTTCAAACCATCAGACACCATGAAACATCTCTACGTCTCTGCTTTTTGCTGCTTCCACAGATGTGTTTTCTGTTCTATTTCCTGTTATCTCTTTGACCATGAAACATGAGACCATAATCAATCAATGACATCACTCTCCACCAATCATATTTCAGCTCTCCGGAGCTCTTCCCCCTTTGAATCGGTACCTTTCGAGACTGTCAGTGCTGTTGTCCATGGTCTGAACGGCTCCTCTCCACATCTCTGCTCCTGACTCTCCTTCACTGTTTTGGGAGAAGATCTGCTCTGAACTCTGCTGCTCTCTGCTGACCTCTTCAGTCTGCAGCTGCCCGTTCA